GGCCAAAGATAAGAGAATGTACATTATTCTTGGAACTAGTTTCTTCTTGGCCCTTTCCTCTCCACGTGGGAACATTTAGGTTGTCGTGGTTGAAAGTTAGTGGGAAAAGACTTTTGTTTCTCACTTTTTCCCTTCTCTCCTGAATGACTTTCCCATTTTAGAAGCTGATCTATCAAAGTCATTGTAGCGGCTGGCCCATACCTGAGTCAGCTGTAGTAAATGAGCTTGTGCAATTGCTGGGAATCCCCAGCAGTAAGTCCCATAGGGAATCCCATTCTGTTCAGGCCTCTGGGTCCTCGTCTGTTTGGGGGAGGTTTAGGCCAAAGCTCTCAAAAGCTGGACCCCTTGTCCCTCACACGCTGCAACTATGCACTGTCATTTCTAACCAGAATTGCTCTCTTTCCCAGGAATTCTCTCTGACTTTCTTAATGTAGCTTCTGATATTTGGCTAATCTAGAGTTTGTTCCCTTATTACCTGTCCAGTTGTATTCATCCTACAAGGCCCAGGTCCATACCCACCTTATACACGAGATCTGGCAAGACCATCTCATATGCTACTTCTCACTCCCAATACACATAACCATTCATGTCACTGACCCATACTGATGGTTAATATCAAGCCCTCTAGCCTTCTACAGATTATGAAATCCATGATGAAAAGGGACCTGGATTCCTCTTCTCTGCCATCCCCAAAATATGTGCAAATAGATAGATTTCATAATGAAACATTATTTTTTAAGACCCATAGAACTCTTGGTTTGGTTTAAAAATAGAAGAAAACTTCAAGATGGGTAATGAGATGTCAGAGAAGTCCATTGCTGATATCATAAATACTTTTGATTTTCCAGGACTAATTTCAGCCTCTAAATTTTTTCCCGAGTCTCCTTCAAATCCCTATGTCGCCCAAACCTTGTAGCCTCCAGTCTGAACTATAGCTACTGTTGTCAATGGAAGCAACACCAATTTCCGAGGTAGATTCTTGTTTGACTCAACCACCAAATGTAGAGGATAGAACATAATAAGAATGGCTAAAACATCTACACTCTCACTCTTCATAGTATACTTGTATTGAACATTTTACTTATATTCATCTTATTATCCTTACAACGACCAGATGGTATAGACACTGTGCCCTCCCCATTTTACAATGCAGTCAACTTAGGTTGAAGGCAAATTCTTGCTTTTCCTCCTGTTGAAAAGTGAGGTTCGTATCTCCTTTCCTGTACCTGGAGAAGCCCTGGGAGCAGACCAATAAAGTATGGTACAAGTGACACTGTGACATTTCCCAGACTCAGGCTAGAAATAACTAACCTCTAATTCCTGTCCCTTGAAACACTCTCTCTAGGGCCCTGAGCCTCCTGAAGGAAGACTGATTACTTTGCAGGAGAGACCATGAAGACATGGAGAGGCAAAATAGCCCAGCCAAGTCCAGTCTTTCCAGTAAATTCATCAGACACAAGGTGTATGAGGGAAGCCAGACCCATCAAACCAGAGCAGCCATGGAATGCTATCAGTCAACTTTACCAGTCAACTTCGAGGGGCAGAGAAGTTGCCTCCTTGAACCCTGGCCAAATTTATGACCCACCAAATTGCGAGATCTAATGACTGATTGTTGTGTTAAGCCACCCAGTTATGGGAAAGTTTGGTTTTTTTGTTTTTTTTTTTTTTTGGTAATAGTTATCTATAACCTATGACTTGTTCAAGGTCACTTAACTAATATGAGAATGAATTAGATTTTAAAACCAGGCCATCTGGCTCCACATAAATGTTCTAGATCATAAAGCTATAGCCTAACCAGTGGGGAGAAAATGTGCAAGGACCCTGGTTATTCTAGAAGGAAAATTTTCTCCAAGCTACTCTCCTTTCAGTTGTTAAATGAGTGTAAGGTAGATAATGAACCTGTTTTGATTTCTGTTTATTCAGTATTTATTTCCTGAACATGTACTAAGTGTCAGATCTTTTACTTGAGAACTCTCTCTCTCTCTCTTTCTCTCTTTCTCTCTCTCTCTCTCTCTCTCTCTCTCACACACACACACACACACACACACCTTCTTTATCAATGTTTACCTTAATTTTTTTTTTTTCTGAGAGCACAAAGAGGGATACTTCTTAGTATAGGGTTAAGATCAGATGCTTGGACACAAAAGCCCTGAATAATTTAACATAGTCCATGTCATTCACAAGCAATTCTACACTCAGGACTGTAGCAAACTAGAATATCAGAAAGATCAAAGCACCAATTACTTCTGGGAGACCAGAGCATTGAAGAGCTCTATCAGCTTAAGAACTACTTGTTCACATTCTCACACAGTTAAGAGCAGCACAGAAAGCACTTTACAGGTTTCCTTTGATCTGAAATCAACAATGGGCAAGGTCCACCAGAAATGAACTCCTCAAATGAGGTTTTCTTAGTACTAGCTTTAAGAAGGAACCAATAGGTTTTGAATAGCCACATTTTTTTTGTAGGCTCACATGCTTATTTTTTTTTCCCCCAGAAGAGACTCATTTTAGGACAACTTTACTTTAATAATATTATCAAAGCAAAAGAGGGATACAATAGAGTATCATTTGGAAAATGTTCTGTGATTTCACACAGATGAAAAATGAATGATGGATCTGGTGAATATGAATTCCAATCTTCCCTACTTTTTTCCCCCCTGCCTCTAAAGTGTCTCCCTGAGATCAGAGTTTTATGAGACCTCTTCATCCAAGAAAATGAGCTAGATCATACAAGCAAATTGAAGCTTTTGGAACTGACCTTCCTCCCTCAAAGTCTCCATAGTCTTCCTGGAATTGTCCTAAACTCTGGATTGATTCCAAGGGCTTCTGTGTCCTCCGTCCCAACTTAGGCTTGATGTGATCTATAGAATATGCTTAAGACCAGAATAGGCTTGGATTCAAGGTTTTCAAGTTTTTGTGAAGCACATGGTTGAGTTATTATGGCTCGTTGGCAAGAGCAAAAAACGTCCTAAACCCTTGGCTCAGCATTATTTCCTCTAGTTTGTCTTTAAAAAAAAAAAAAATCCCAGAGTTCTTTTGTTCCCTACCCTAGTCTAATCCATGCTGCAAGGCTATTGGCTTTCCTCCAAGGATATGTGTTTACACACCCTTAAAAACAGAGTGTCAATAGATTTATAATATACTTTTATGGCCTTGGTAGAAGTAAAAGGAAAGGCATGCAAATGTAACTCAATTATTACTGGACTCAAAGGAAAAGAGACACACACCAGAGAAAAGCTGTCGAAGGGGGCTCTTCCAGATGTCCACCTCCTCCAAGAGACCCCAGGTTACTTGCAAAAGTTCTGCACTTTGAAATCCACTCTTTATCCAAATCCTTGACTTTCTTAGTTTGTAGAAAGAGTTTAGGGACTCACCCAATCTGCTCCCATTTATGTACTTGCCACAGGAGGGAAGGCCAAAAACCGACAATTACCATGGCTTAGTCCCTGAATCCCTGTGTAAGATTAAATCCTCCCGCGGTCAGTGAGAATTTGGCCTTAAAAAGGACTACAGGATCAGCCATTCCTACGAAGAAAAAGCCATTTGCTCCTCTGCTTCCCACAGAGTTAGCAGAATGTATTCTGACAGAAGCAAAACAAGTCTGCCAAGTCCTGTGCAAACAGAACTATCCTTTCACCAACAATAAACAGATCTACTCTTGAGCTATAGAGAGTCATAATAGAAATATATATTGCCTTTTATCTTCTTTTCAGTGAGTGGAGTGAGGTGTCAGGAGTTATTGCTTTAATATTGGCAGAGAAGCAGTATTTTTCTCTTTCCAGCATGTGCATAGGTATGCATGCAACAGCACGTGTGATTATAAGACTGCTACTCTTAACCTTTGGAAAACACATAAAATTGACTGGTAACATCATCAGCATGTACAGCTTCAAGTTGTTCCTATGGAGTCAGGTAAGGAGCTATCTGAATTTCTGCTCAAAGAAAAGGAAAAGGGAAGAGAACGTGCTGATCTCTACCCAGCTCACATATACTTAATTCAGAAAACTGGAAGTTTAATTGATGGTTAACACGAAATTGACAATGTCCATCAGAGTCAATGGAAGGGTGGTGACAAAGACTCAGTTGGACTCCTTGATTCTGTCTTAAAAACTAAGAAACAGAAGGGACAAGTACTGATCTACTACATTTTCTATGAACACTAACTAGGCTAAGGGTGATTTCACCACTAGTAATTGGAATGTCTTATTTTATGCCAGAGCATTTAAAGCTAATAACTCGATTAACCTCCTACCCCCTACTAACTAGATTTATGAAATGCCAAGGGAGTCAGCAAAGTATTAAGCTTTAGCTTGGATATAATTACTTTAAAGTGAAAAAACAAAATCCTTACCACAAAACTAAGGGCTTCCTGCCTAGCTAAATTCAAACCTTCACATTTTCTAATGTAATTAGTATCTTGGTTAAATACAAAGGAAACAAAATGGACCGAAAAATGACAAGTAATTAATCAAGACTTAATATCAAACACAAAGACTGCATATTATGAGGATTAGTTGAACTTCTAGCTCCAATTGCCCTTGATTTAATGGTACCCATTGGCCCCAATAATGAACAATTCACGTTCCAGCAAAGCCATCTGGAGGATGTGAACAGAATTGAGCTAGGATATAGTGTTTTCTATGATCACAAATTTTCCTTTTGCCTTCTTCCCTTTGTGCTATTTGAAAAGAAAAGGTAATAAAATAAGAGGAGGGAGTATTTCATACTAAAAGTGTAGTTCATTGCTCATTTTGAATAACAGCTTTACCATTTCAGTGAAAAATACGATAGGAATAATAACCTAGGAGTGCCTAAAGACTTTTATAACTTCTTTACCAGTGACTTCATCTTGTTCTACTACTGGATCTTATTATTATGAGCATCTGCAGGCATCTTTCTTATAACAACTCAATATCTTTAACTATATAGAAAATGGACCACAATAGTAAGGTTTTAAAGGCAAAGGTACAGAAGTAACTAATACCTGGAAGAAGGCTTACCTGAATGCTGGCTGTGGAGCGATTCTTGCGGGTTGTGGTAGTAGCCATTGTGGTGGTGGTTTCCATGACTGTGGTAGACATTTCCGGTGGCATGGAGGTCGTCTGTGTTGTTCCCAAGATGGATGGGACCTCTCCCACCAGTCGGACACTTCCATTGATTTTAATATTAGGGTTGTTCTCAGCTGCCATATTCAGTACTTTCAAACCATCATAATAGAGCCCAGAGAGTTGACCTTGGAAGAGGCGTCCTTTATCCTTTCCGCCAATGGCTATTTGCGCCTGGGTGTTGAAGATGGTTAACTGCCGGCCTAGTGGGTTGGGTGGAGGAAACATTATTATTCCCATATATTTTCTCTCCTTACCTTGCCTGGTCTGAATGGATCAGGCACAAAACAGGCTTCCTTCAGCAAATGAAGGGGGAAAATGGATAACAAAATTCAATGTCAGCATTGGCAAGTAACATTTCATTACAGTTATCTCTTCCGCTGTCTAGCTGAAAATCCTGAACCATCAGGTGTTTATTTATTTATTTTTTTATTTGAAGGATGAAGAAATCTTTGTTCAGTGATGAGAGGCATGTCAGTCTTCTTGAGTATATAACTCAGTCTTCTTGAATGTTTCTATTTATTTAAAAAGTGGATAACATAAATATCCAAATCAGGCAATGATTAGAAAAAATAATATGTGCCTACAGCTTTGATTTGTTTAAGGTAAAAATTAATATTACAACCTAAAGGAATTATATATGGCAAACAAAAACTCAGTGAGGTAACTGGTAGCAAGGAATTAAAAACCTAGGCCTGATGATTAAATTAAATTCATATTAAATGGATTAATTGCATACTTAAAAAATTGACATTCTAATAGTTGCCCAATACACAATTTCCTAGTGAATAATATCCTGCCAATATTTTTTTGTTTAACAATATAATTGCAGTATATTTCTATATATACCAATATTTTTATATTGGAGGTATGGTCATAGAACTAAATAATTCCCTAAAATATGGAAAATAAGTAGGCATTGATAAAGTTCCTAAACTTTAGAATCAGTGAATTTTAAAAATGTATTTATGAAGAAAGTGAGTCATAAAGCTCTTTAAATGATATAGAGATATGTTAATGGGATGAAGAATATCTGTGGTTTACTTTATTTAGAGTTTCTATTTGAGGACTATTTATAATTCTGTGGAAAGAAAACTATTAGAATAAAATCATGGTAGAATAGAGTTTGGAATCATGGAACAAATTTTACTCCCAATTATTTGTATTTATTTAAAAAAAATTGTCTCAAGTTAGATCTTTCCTAGAAGGGAAAAAAAAAGATTTTGAAAACTCATTGTAATTTATCATGACAGCAACATGCTAAGGCCTTCTTGGTTCCTTGTGCTTTTTCATATGGAGAAAGGGAACAAAAAAAGATACTTGTTAATGGAATTAGATATATCCCTTCTGAATTTTTTATATTTTTAAAATATAATAGTATAATATTTTGATGTTTGGAATCTTAACAGCTACCACTATCACAGAGTCTTAAAGGCTATGCCATCTTGAATTTCTGGTGTGTAATGTGGAATACCTTCTCATTGTACACTAATGTGAGACAAGGAAGTGACAGAGAAGGGTAAGTATGTATGCTCAGAGGGTATTCTTCAGACAAGAGTCAACTTTGCTCATTGGGGCAACTCCTAAGTCCTATTACTCAAGAATCATTTATAAATAATGCCCATTTAGGAGGCTGAAGAATTGATCAGAGAACTTTATTACAGTGAGAATATTCTGCTGTATTTTATAAAATCTCTGCAGCATAGAAAGGGCATTTGCTGGCCTCCACAATAGCAGAATTTTCCGCATCCCAAGGGTGCAATTAGAACAAAGCTAATAGATCTCCATTATTTCCTAATCAATTCCTTCAGTGTCCTGTATATACATGCATCATGTATAGTAATAGAGAGTGACGGCCCAAAGTTCATATCTCTTTATGGTTTATTCTTGACAACAGATTTTCCTGAGAGCCCAAAACTTACTATAGGCATTTGAAACAGCTAAACATTATAAGAAGCTGATTAACAGAAGATTTCTAGGGTGAAATGTCTTACCCTAGAGGGCCCCAGGGTCAAGTAGCTCTTCCATGTACACAGCTGTTGCCTGTTCATATTTTTTTTTCTCTCCTTCTTTCGTAAAAATCCAGCACTGGTGATTAGTTAGCGGTTGAGTAGCCTTGATCATAGGTTCAAGGCTCTATATTCTAATATTCTTGAAAGTACTTCACAATGATAACCCCTATAATGGTTCTCAACTTATTTTCCTGGAAGTATTCATTCTGCCAATGCTTACAAATAAGAAGAGGACCAGAGGAAACTGAAATTTAGTGCTGAATTAAATTGGCTGGAAATGATGGATTACCTTCAATCCATTTGCTATGGTTCACTCCATAAAGTGATCTATGATTATTTGAGACTAACCCAAGAATTAGGAAAGGCAAGACATGATTTGGGACATGAAGATTAAATAGCTGCTTCACTGTTGGCTTACACTGCTTTTCCAGAGGGTTCTGACTGATGCCTTTTCGCAAACAAAGTCATTTGGGGTGGGGGTGAGAAAGAAGAGTTTGCCTGTGCTTTAGTTTCCCCTCACACCATTGGAAAAGTGGGGGTTTCTCTTTGCTTAGTTGTCTTATGGTCTACTCTTAGCAAGATCTGCTCTTCTTTTTTGTGTTAAAACCTTCTCCTAGCCCTATGTACCTTGGTTTAGGACTTCAATGGCAAAGCTGGAAATCCCTAAAGGAAGAGTGGAACATACTTAGTTTCTTACTGACCCTTCCTCTGATTGACTTCTCTCTCCCTGCTAAGCAGGAGCTCGTGGATAAGTGGGAAATGTCATTAATATGCGAACCCATGAAGGATGGGAAGGACTGACAAGAAAGTTTGCCTTTCATCATTTGTCCTGGATTTCTCAAAAGCAATGGCAGATCTCATTATACACACTGTTTTCACTTCCTCTGATCAATTTTTATTAGATGACCATTTATAAACAAACATGCACACACATACACCATACATACATGTGTGTTCACACACACACATTCTAGTCTGAATATTGTGAAATTATGACTGTGATATCAAAACAGGAGTGACTTTTTGTTTTGTTTCAGGTGCTCATCTTCCTGGAAGTCATTAATTGTTACCTCATTTCGACATCAAGTCCACATACGCTTAAATTAAATCTTTGCACGTCTCCAGTCAGTGTTGCACAAAGACTAATTAATTAAACCTCAGAACACCCTTGGGGAATTGGCAGTATTATTTCTCCTCTCCTCAGATGGGAAATCTGAGACATAAAGAGGTTAAGTGGATCGTCTAAGGTCAGACATTCAGTCAATAGTAGACAGAGCCGGAAACAGACTTGGGAATGCTATGACCCAAATCTCTTCCCCAGTGATAAAAATAATTCCAGAGACATTCCGAGTACTTCCTGAAGTGTTTGTCTAATCATCCTTCCATCTTTACCTTTCATATTCATTGTCTCTACAAGGTCTTTCAGTATATATTTTCTATCCTTTTTGCAAGGGAAGTTACCTAGGCAGAGGAAGAGGTAAAGTAATAGAATAAATAGATGTTACTTACCCAAATTGGAAAAAATAAGGAATACCAGTGAAAATAACTGATAGACGAGAACCTCAGTTTGCAAATGAGCCTGTTTAATATTATTTGCATACAGTAACCCATATGTATATTTGATTAAGAAGGTAGGATGCCTCCCTCCTTCCCACCTCAACCACGCCTCCCCCATCCCAACCCTCAATTTGGGTATCTGAAGCATCCTTCTAAGTGAAAGCCAACTGATAATGATGTTATCATAAGAAAAACTCAAAGTCTACTAATAATTTATAATGATTTATACAAATGAAAATGCCTGGCATGCTATTAAACTTAGACTTCAAAAGGCAATGGAGTAAAATAAAATATTATTAACATAAAATTGAAAGAAACAAAAAAGTTCTCTCAGGCACATGAGACTCAGACATGCATCCAGTTCTCCCTTCCTTTTGAAAAGTGAGGCAGTCATTGTCTTTAATGTTAAAGGGACTTTATGAGCTGGTGATTACTAAACAAAATTATTATATGCTTTTTAGAGTTATTCTTAATTTATTTTTAATTAGACCACATTTTTTTTTCAAAACAGGGCAAACAGTTAAGACCTGGTGAGGATTATCCTTTTTAAAGGTCTGAATGTGTTCACCCATCTTAAAGCTGCAGTAGTTCTTGTTGCTTAAGTTGCATACCACATAATATCCCTAGTTGCTCTTCATATGTAAGTCCATCAAATCTCTGCAAATTGTAAGGGCTTGGTTGAGGTCTTGAGACAGGAGAGCTCAAGAAAAAATAAAGTACATAGCTCCTCAGAGATAGATGATATTCTTCATTGATAAACACTGGTTCATCTCCTAAGCAAGAGAAGCCACACAGAAAATTCTAATGTGAGTTATAACCGCTGCCCTCTTTTATTGAGTGGTTGTTTCCTTCAGCAAATTAGAAACTGCTATTTTGCCTTGCACAGTCTTTTCCTTTCCAACTTGTTTTCTTGACCACTTACACTTTCATTGCATAAAACATTCAACACACAAAGGTATCACACAACAAAAGTGTAAAGCAACCTCGTTTTGTTTTTGGTTTCTGTCAGCAACTAGGATGCAATGAATCTCTTATAAAAAAAATAAAACAGAACAAAATTTTTTTTTTGCCTCTGCAGGTTTGAATGCAAAAGCAAAATTCATTCTTTTCTTTGTTTAAAAACAAACGTTAAAACACAATGCTTCCCTTATAGCATTTGTTTTAAGCAGTTTAAGCTACTAAGAGTGGATCTATGGTTTTTTCGTTAACCATGCTACAACTAGGAAAATCAAAACAGCCGCGAGATATGAGTTTAAAAAGTACTTTTGAAATTTCTTTAGAAAGCTTCGGTGTAAGAGGTAATTTAAAACAAATTAACAAATAATGTCATGCAGTGGTTAAATTGCCATAATACATTTTTTTTAAGAGGTTCCTGAAATTTCTTGTTTGTGGCTGTCATGCTGATAGCAGGCTAGATGTTAGTCCCTTTAACTGTATTTTAATGGCAATGTATTATAGCATGATTTATCAACATATGGCAGGTGGAAGCTGACACAAATTATAATGAAAATTAAAACAGTCATTTATGCAGCAGGCGATTATCATTTAAGGAACATTTATTTGCAGGCTTTAAAAATGAGGGTTTAGAATCAAATGATTTTAAAATGAAAGTTTTAACGACGGTTACCTTTTTCCTGCAGCCACTCTTCTACGGGTCGGTTATATTTGAAGGGGATTTTCTGTTTTACCATTTGGAAGCGTTCATTATCAGTGTTGCCTTTAAAGTTTAAAAAACAGCTTAAAGAACAATCTGAAAAGTCAATAAGTCATTAAAAAAAAACATCCTAGGTTTTTGGTTTGTTTTATGAAGTTTTTAGAGATAGATATCAATTTATCTTTAGTAGAGGTGGAGTTGAAGTCACTCTGCCCTCGGATGATAGGTTTGGGGGTCAGGTTAGTTTCGGCTATGCTGTGCTCCACCATGGTTTGGCTATGTAGCGTGGGTTTGGGACCAGTGCAAGGTATGGCCACTTACAGAAATAGGTTTACCTTCACTCTTTCCGTCTTATTCCAACCACACTGTAACCAGGCCAATTTAGGCATGGGGATCTCTTTGACTTGTGAGTAATTCACCTGCCAGATCAATGTCACATGTGACAGGGGACACTCATCCTCTCCGTCATGCATGTTCCACCATCACTCTACCTCATCTCCCTCAGAAGCCTGGGCTGAGTCCTTCCCCCATCTCCCCTTCTCAAGCATCTGCAGCAGTTGTACATTTTGGCAGAGGGAAGCCAAAGGCGACAAAATCAGCCCTTATGTGTGAGGGAGATGGCTAATTCCATAAAGGATATCCAGGCACCTCCTCATCTGTGTTAAATATGTAGGGGAGTAAAGGTGACTCTTTAGATCTCTCTTTGTCCCAGGTCATTACATATTTTAAAAAAAGAGGAACTCCAAATAAATATCTGGAAATAAAGGCAGTTATAAGTGTAACGATATAGCTTATGCAGATTTTTAGCACCTAAAAATCATTACTATGAGAGATGCTGACTTGTAAGTTTACCTAGTCCTTCCTCCCTCTCTTTCCCATTCTTTCTCTCTCTTCCTCTCTCCCTCCCACCTTCTCTCTTTTTTTCTATGAGAATCTCTTCCTGAACAAACATCTATTCATAAAGCCTGTTAGGAACACTTCTTCCAAACATGAAATATCTAATTAGTTTCAAGGCTAAAACATAATGCTTTTAATGACTAGCATCTCCCCCTCTTCCTTTGGTAACTGTTATTGCTATTCCTGGATGGTTTCTCTAATTAGGAGAGACTTGGAGAGTGGTGTTGTGGAGATTCACCCTTAATGAATATGCTTCAAATAGCAAAATAATGAAGCCATGCTTTGGGAACTGTTCTGTCTCGTCAGCCAACCTCACATTGATCTTGCAGAAACTAGGGAATTGTAATTCATCACTTTTGATTCATAGCCCTATATCGGAACTTAGGGAACTCCATTGCAAATTACCAATATTAAAAAATGAAATAAAAATCTCAAAACAGGTTGCTTGGAAACAATTTACAAAGAAGTCTGAAAGCCAGAAAGAATATTAAGTTTTAATATAGCATCAGACCAAGTGAGCAGAGGCATGCATGGCATTTCAATTGTAGGGCCATCTCTATATAGGAATTATCATCAGTTGAGAAGAATCCATGTGTGACTCACTAGGACCTTTATTCTGCTTGCATGTATGGGGGGATGGGATGGAAAAGGGTAGCGATACTGGGGGCTATTGGCTCCCCATTCATTTCTTCATTGAACAAATTATTTTAAGATGATTACTCATCATCATTCTACCCTCAAATTAAAAAAAAAATAAGAAAGGCTACAGAAGAGGCAACTATGGATGTGTTTCCAGGCTATACTATGGAGTCCTCTCTGGGTGGCATAAAACATAACATATTAGCATATCAAAGGAAAACTGCCGTGAATAGAAAGAACAATTAATAATTTTGACTTGCAGTGGATAATTTCATTTCTTACCAAAAAAAAAAAAAAAAGGAACTGGAAGGTGAGTGACAGGCAAGGCAACTTAACCTGTTGGTGTTTCAGTAGGTACATAGTGAGAGAGAGAAATTAGTTTTACCTGTTAATATAGCTACTGATTACTGATCATTATAATGGTTCTCCCTGGTAGATCTGCAAACCCAGAATTCTATTAATTTGAAATAAATTTAGGTAAATTCTTTGATGTTTCTACAGAAAAGAACCATGCACTTTCCTGAAAAGAACCTACATCACTAACTCTGAATTCTATCCCACAGGTAATAGAGAGGGTGAGGAGTGTCATTCACCTTCTAAAGTTTTAAGCACAATGGAAAACTATACTTAAATGGAATACTATACTCAAATGACAACTGGATTGTACCAGATTCTCCTTGAATAAATTCTGTTACATTGGGGTTTTCTGTCTCTATCATTTTTGGTTCTAACATTAAATACAGCCATGACCTTCATTACTATATTTACTCACAGTGGAAATGTCTTGTGAGGTTAATAATAAAAATAAAGCTACAAATTCTTAGTAACATGCAAGGCAGAACTAGAAGCAACCAAAATCCAAATTGCCAGGGTTATATTTGAACCAAATTAATTAATTATGTTGATTTGTTCCCTTCAAAAACATAGGGCTCTTGGCCCTCTGAAATATACCTATACCTGCCACCTAGTCTCTCTTGAGACATAAAGTACCATTGGAAATCACTTTGGGACATGGCACAGGCTAGAAAAAGGGTTAATTATGTTGATCAATAAGTGATATGGTGTGAGAACAGCATAGCCACAATTTAACCTTTGACCCTTCCAAAAATAAGAGAGTCATTCTTCTCCACCTTAGCTTTAAAGACATTTAGAAAAATATTTTAAGTTTTCAACACCAGATTGATAGCATCTGGTACTAAGGATAATAGTTGTGAAAGATGGAAGGTCATTTGGAAAACCAAACTGAGTTAAATTGCCCCATTAACATTGTTCTTAGTCTCTTTTCATGTTCTTGTTGGTTTTTATTCTAATTTATCTCAAACACTAGTAAGAACTGTTTTAGAAACATGTGCATGAGAATGAGTTCATTTGCCCCGAGCCCCATTCCCTAGATTAATTGAATAGCAAACAACCTTCAGCATATGAGAATTCATACAGAGGACTACGCCAAAAGCAGAACAAACCTCATCAAATTCATATATATTCTTGTTAAATCCTTAATGACATTCATTTGTACATTTCATATACCAACCAGTATGAAACTTTAAATAAAGAGTGAAATCAATTCTTTAACAGAAAATAAAGCTGTATTCATGAAAGAATGGCTTTATGGGAAGTTATGTCATAATGACATTAAAAAAGGTATAAATGTGTCACTAATTCAACAAATATATAATGACTGAAGTTCTTAAACACACTGAGAGATACTTCAATTGTACAGAGATATTCAAATAGTTCTTAAATTACTTGTATAAATCTGACATTCACTTACATGGACTGGATCTTGGAAAACATCTTAGTCACAGTATATTCAACTTAAAATATGTGTGTGTGTGTGTGTATGTGTGTGTGTTGTATTGTGTTACTGTTTATTCTCTTCCATTTGAAGTAAAGAATTGAGATTTTTCAGATAGTTGGCTTCCTACGGTCATTATCATTGGGATGATCGGCTTTGCTATCAAGTATTTCACCACCTGGAGACATGTACTCTATGCACTGTGGAGTTACATAATTGCAAATTGCAGAACATTCTGAATTGCAATTCCTAAAGCCCAACTGGTTCATACACCTAGCACCTTTGTGCAGAACTATCTCACATTTTCTACATTTGGGTGAATCCATTTAAGGTAAAAGGAAAAGGAAATGGAGGAAGAAAGGCAAGAAAAGCAAATTGAACCTTGAATATGTTCCCCAATAGACATCAGTATATCTGAGGATGTTAAATTTGTTAACAGTCCCAAAGGAGTAAAAATTGTTTCAAGTGAAGAACTGAAAACAGCACAGTATTATTCTTATACTTTATTTGTCTAAGCATACATCACTTCATCAGAAGTCATACAAATTTTCTCCAAGCTATAATCAAAATAGCATAAGAGTTAAGACCATGGGATCCAGAGACAAATCTGGTGTTCAGTTCTAACTTTGCCATTGACTAGTTGTGTGACCTTGAGCAAGTCATTTAGCCTTGGTTTTCCCATTTCTCAATTTACTATTGGACTTAGTGTAGACTAATAAGAGAGTATATGCAAAGCTGAAATATAAAAAACATCCAATTTTATTTCAACTGTTAATATTAATATGATTAAACCCTCTTAATGATCAAAAGGAAGCATACTGGTTCCCTGATAGGCTTCCATGATCACAGAATCTTACCAGGTCTTTGTTCAAGATGACTGTATCTCATTTGGCCTCACAAGATGGTCTAGCAAAGATCAACTGGCCATAGAAAATAAAGCATCTTAAATATCCCCCAAATCTCCAGCCATTGCTTTTTTTTGTATTTTTGCATCCCCTAACTTATACTCAGCTAACTCCATTTCCAAAACAAGTGGGCTTCTAAGACCATTGAAAATAAAAGAGCAATTCAGGCATTGACAAATGTGATTTCTTGGTTCAGCCACAGGTAATGATGATATACTGCTGCTAAGTTGAGGAAGAGTGGCTTAAAGGTTCTGGCAATTTGCACCAGCCTGACAGAAAAATGTTTTTTTTGCAGGTGGACTTTTAATACCATCTGAAATATTGTCAAGCATGTGATGCTAATAGGAATATTGTAAAGACAATTACCTGTATAAAATTAATGCCAGAGGTATTTTTTTTTATTTTGTTTTGAGCCCTGGAATAAAAGAAGGAAAAGTTTTCCCTATTGCTTTCTGGACATTTAAAAATGAGAGTGTGAGTTTAATGAACAATCAGAGATCAAATGCTATGTACTAGAGCCAGAGGCAAAAGGAAATCAATGTGAGCAGGCTCAAGGAGTAGGGCAGTTCACAGGTTCTTGACATGCCTTTGTCCCGAAGGAACACTTTGTGAGTTTAAAAGCAAATGCATGACAGTAAAGAGGAGGAACTGGGGAAACTCTGTGAGCTTGGCTCTGGCCACATTCCTTACACTGGCTCAGAGTGTCCCTCTTCGAGGAAGACAGGGAGGTGTGCTACCCAAAGGGCATCAAGATTGTTTGACCACTTGTAAGTGATGGATGGACCCCAGCGAAGAACTAATATCTGGTATTTACAAAGTGCCTTTCA